AATTGCAGAAGAAAAGAGATAAAACTCAAAAACTATGTAAACCCCGGATGGGTGTAACCTGATCTAAACTACATTTTATTATTTATAAATTAGATATTTTATTACTGTAAAATATTTAATATTAACCAATCATAATCCATCTAACTAACAACCGACTTATTTGTAAGTGCTGAAATTACTTGTAATTTCAGCACCAGAGAGGTTTGAATTTAACTTAGAGATTAGTTACCTCTCCTCGAGAACTTCAGCAGCCGCAATAAAACCAGTATACTTTAGATCTATTAAGCCTAGCAGAGACTAGTTAAACACCCTGAGACTAGTAGATAAAAGAGTAAGATTAGGATCGGTATTAGACTAGAAGTTGCACGAATCTATCTGGCCAAAATAAGATAGCGTTGTGAGCAGACGGTGTACCCTATCCGAAATCACTCTATGAGTTAAACGCCTCATACCTAACTCACTAACCTGTTGATACTGTGGTTGATCGTTCATTAAAACTAACATGGCGCTTGGCTTTTCCCTGCTTAATCTGTTTTACCCTGTTTTTTTTTATACAAAGCTGTTATGGTTTTCAGAAAAACTTCTTTTTTAAATGTTTACCTTTTTCGAAGAAATTTCGTCACTATTCTCGAAAACTACTAGCTAAATCTGATATTAAAGTCCATTATTTCAAATATTGAAAATTACGCATTTAAAGTTTTATTGGTTTTCTTCAAAAGTCGTTTTTTCGGTGTTTTTGGCTTCATTGACTTTTTTTTGCCACGAAAACCGATGGTGATTGGTCACAAAAGTTGTTTTTTTTTGCTGACAAGTTCAAAACATCAGCTAAATTAGAAAGTTTTTTTATTTTACCATGATTGATTCAGTTTTAGTACATCTGAAAAAAAAACAAAAAAAAACTTCAGAGATTGAGCAAAAGTGTGCAGTTCTACCAAAAATGAATGAATTTTCTCAAAAAAATAGTTGTGTTTTTGAAAATTGTCTAAAACATTTCCTCCTTTTCTTCCCTTTCTCAAAACCAGGATAATCCTTGCTTATAAAATGCGGCTAGAAGAAGACAAATTCGAATTGTCTAAAAAAATTTTCAAAAATTTTTTTCCTTCTATCAAAACCAGGATAATAATTGTGATAAAAATGTCACGACCACGAAAAACGTTCACAAGAAGCAGTTTTGCAGAATATAACTATAATTACACACATCAAAACCAAACCACCTTCATCGAAAAAATAACAACCACGTATGTTCTAACCATTGGAATCTCCCAAATACATCAACCAATTCAGTAAATTTTCAAAACAATTCAGTTTTATAAAAAACCATTTTGACTTACACACACTATCACGACAACCCCACCATCGTTTTCAATTCTTTAACTCGAAATACACATCACCATTTTTTCTTAATTTTACATATTGCATTAAAATTACTAACCTCCACGGCATCCTCCGTAACTATGACCCCATTACCCAAATGTATATATTCTGTCCCCTCACGAAGACCCTCAATGATGAAGAATCAAGACCCTTCATTATCCCGCATGAGTTCATCCAACCTATTGAAATTCCCATACTAGAATTCATTCATAATACTAAATATAATCACAAAATTAACAATCTAATACAAAACACACCTCATGAGTTGGCAGTAGGCACCGAAGAACTAAACACCATCAAAGCACTTCAATTGCTTTGGCCACTGCTTCAAACTAAAAACGTCATTCGCATACTAGCCAAATTATTAACAACATCCGATTTGATTCTCGAAATCTTCCCCCATGGCTTTTTTCCGGTGACTAAGGTAAGTATAATTCAAATAAATTTAACTAATAATTCAAATTGTACTAGCCGTTCTTTATAAATGTTTCAATTCTCTTTTTAGTCTTCTTACTACTATCATCTACAAAAACAGAAAAAGAAATAAAAATGCAAACTTGTTAAATTAGAATACAAAACTAGTATTTTCTTTTGCTAAAACTTATTTGCTAAAACTATTTTGCTATACTAAATTTTTCGCACTAAATGAAGTAGTAAAATTCATAGCCAATGTAGTAATTTTATTTATAAATTATTTCCCCAAGAAGCAGTAAAATTCAAAAACGATGAAAATTTATAATTTAAAATTTCCCCAAATGTAGTAAATTTCAAATTTCAAGCAATAAATTCATAAAATGAGAAAGCAGTACTAACCTTTTCAATGTTTTCATTCATTCGCACAAGAATTCTATCCATACTCGCACAGCTCGCCCACGAAGTTTTGTTTGAAATAATGATTTTATGTTTCAAGCTTTCACTAACAATAACTCAAACAACCGATAACAAGTTTCCAACTTTTGCTTAACCTGGTTGGAATGGAGTTATACACTACGCTAAACTAACCAATGCAGCTTACTAAATACCATAACTCATCAAAATAACAGCATGACTAAGAAAAGAAAACCAACGGTACCCAAACCGGATTAACCCAGTTTAAAACTGGATAATTTATTCTTTTGAAGACTATTACAAAGTCTAAGAAAGAAATAATAAAACACAAAAAAGTCGAAAGACAAACCCAAACCAAAAACAATTTGATTTTTGAAAAAAGGACACAACCAAAAGTAACAAGGAAAGACCAGAAAAAAACCAACATAAAAAGTTATCACAAAACAGGACCCCTCAAAGAAACAGCACGAAATCATACTCCCACTCCTGGCCTAACCCACCAGAGAGGACGTCCTGAGCATGCTTATAGCCGGCCTAACCCACCGCGCTACACGCACGCTTTGTGACCACACTTCTATTTTTAATAAGAGGTACTCAAGGTTGAGTAACTCTTCAAAATAACTGAACTAAAATAAAACGCTTTTGTGAAAACAACTAATTAAGATCATAACTAAAACCAATTAACAAAAATTTATAAAATGTAAATCATAATATGCAGTACATAGATCATACACAACAACAAAGACGAACATCCAAAGACTAGATGATCCCACCACAACATGAATAAGAGAATGGCTAAAAAACACAACCGACATGCCGTCCCAATCACGACTCAAAGGATTTAGAGTACGACATGACTTCGCAGCAAAGGACTTCATTGAACCAAACCAATGACCACCTCGATGTTCAAGTATACGTACAGATCCGAGTTACAAAGCATCCCTTCCAAACACGAATTTCACGCCATTTCTAGACGAGGGTGAACACAAGACAGTTCTCCACTAATACAGAAAAACCTGACATAGCAAACCATTTTGAAATCGCATTGTTTTCATTGGGGATCGCATTCGTTGTCGAACGACAAGACGATAACTTCATGTCCATCATTCCAGCGTTCTGGAACGTTTCTCTTGAAGGAGAAACCGGACAAGAAATTTGATGTTCGCCAAATACCAACGTTCATCATCCATCCTTCAATTGCAGAAGAAAAGAGATAAAACTCAAAAACTCTGTAAACCCCGGATGGGTGTAACCTGATCTAAACTACATTTTATTATTTATAAATTAGATATTTTACCACTGTAAAATATTTAATATTAACCAATCATAATCCATCTAACTAACAACCGACTTATTTGTAAGTGCTGAAATTACTTGTAATTTCAGCACCAGAGAGATTAAAATTTAACTTAGAGATTAGTTACCTCTCCTCGAGAACTTCAGCAGCCGCAATAAAACCAGTATACTTTAGATCTATTAAGCCCAGCAGAGACTAGTTAAACACCCTGAGACTAGTAGATATAAGAGTAAGATTAGGATCGGTATTAGACTAGAAGTTGCACGAATCTATCTGGCCGAAAATAAGATAGCGTTGCGAGCAGACGGTGTACCCTATCCGAAATCACTCTATGAGTTATACGCCTCATACCTAACTCACTAACCTGTTGATACTGTGGTTGATCGTTCATTAAAACTAACATGGCGCTCGGCTTTTCCCTGCTTAATCTGTTTTACCCTGTTTTTTTTATACAAAGCTGTTATGGTTTTCAGAAAAACTTCTTTTTTAAATGTTTACCTTGTCAAAGAAATTTCGTCACTATTCTCGAAAACTACTAGCTAAATCTGATATTAAAGTCCATTATTTCAAATATTGAAAATTACGCATTTAAAGTTGTATTGGTTTTCTTCAAAAGTCGTTTTTTCGGTGTTTTTGGCTTCATTGACTTTTTTTTGCCACGAAAACCGATGGTGATTGGTCACAAAAGTTGTTTTTTTTGCTGACAAGTTCAAAACATCAACTAAATTAGAAAGTTTTTTTCTATTTTACCATGATTTAGTACATCTGAAAAAAAAACAAAAAAAAAACTTCAGAGATTGAGCAAAAGTGTGCAGTTCTACCAAAAATGAATGAATTTTCTCAAAAAAATAGTTGTGTTTTTGAAAATTGTCTAAAACATTTCCTCATTTTCTTCCCTTTTTCAAAACCAGGATAATCATTGCTTATAAAATGCGGCTAGAAGAAGACAAATTCGAATTGTCTAAAAAAATTTTCAAAAATTTTTTTCCTTCTATCAAAACCAGGATAATAATTGTGATAAAAACGCGAGTAGAGAAAATACTACGATGTTTTTGCTGGAACGTTTTCAAAAACTGATAGTTTTTACTGACATAGATGTATATTTTCTTAACTGATGTGGTACTTGACAAAAAAAACTGTAAAATTGCGTTTTTGATCTGGCTTACCTCAAGTTAAAATCATTTATTTATTTGGGAGGAACTAAATTGTTATTTTGAATCATTGTTGTTTAAAGTGTATAGAACAAAATTGTTCATTCCATGCAGGTTTGTGTTCAGTTTTTTCTCAATTAGCTTTGATAAAGCGTTCGTTTGGTGAATTTATCAAAAAACCGCACGCAGAGTTCAGTTTCCTTGCGTTTTTCTAGTTGTATTTCAGTTTTAATACAGGTGAAATTGATTTTTGGTATTAATTTTTTGTTGTACTAAGCTAATTTTCATATTTGAGAACCCGCTGTACACATTCAACCAATTAAGTGGTACCATCTGTTATTTTGTAACAGGACTGCTATGGAAATAGACGCCGGATAATACTGGCGAATGAAGACTTCTCGCCCGATGCGAGAAAGTTGGCAGACGAGTGCTGCCTACCATTGTTGCGCGTGGAGTGGCTATACGATTCAGTTAGCCGAAGCGAGTTGCTTCCACGCAAAGATTATTGTATTTACATTGATGAAAAAAGCCAACCAGATTTGGATACCACAATTCTGTCAGCGTGAATAGACAAAATTCCAATACTCAAAACAATTGATGAAATTGAAAATTATTTGTTTCTTTGTTTGTTTGATTTAGAAGTTCTTACTTTCAGAATTTGTTTGTTTGATGTAGAAGTTATTACTTTCAGAATTTGTTTGTTTGATGTAGAAGTTATTACTTTTAAATTGAGAAATTTCGAACTGGTTTTTCATCTGAACAATCAAAAAAACTTAAAAATAATTAATGAGGCTAATGGTCTTTCCTTCTGTAAAATCGTAACGAACCATTTTCAATGTAAACTTTTAAAGAAACTGGCTCTTTTCCAGTTTCCCCCCCACCTTTCAAAATACCGAGTTTTATGTTTGTTTTACGTGTTATTACGGCTAAATGCGTGATTTTACGCTGTAAAGTATGAAGAACAAATCTGTTCACAGTTGTCGATTTGTTCACCACACCAAATTGCATTGCATTGTGACAACGTTAAATAAGCTTTTCAAAGTTGAATTTGAGAGGGGGGGGGGGAAACTGGAAAAGAGCCAAGAAACTGAACAAACAAAAGCATTTCCTGTTCAAAAAACATGCAGCGTACGACCACATTTTTTTCCGCTCTAATTTGCTAAAAAGAAAACTAGCTTGCGCTGAATTTTGTTCTCACGTAAAACACGTAAGATTACTGAGGAAATAGAAAATATGAAAGTGGAAGATTAGTGGAAAAGAGCCATCATTTGAAATCAACTTTCATGACTCGAATTTCAAAAAAAAAATAATAAGGGAACTGGAAAAGAACCAATTTTTTGGGTTCCACGAACCTTAAATTGCACGTGTTACGCTTGTCCTAGTTGTTTTCATAAAATCGAATTAAGGACTTGGGCATTGTCTTCCTTGGATTATTTTCTCAGATTTCTATCATGGTACATTACGCGATTAATCACTGTGCGCTTTGTTGCAAGGCTTTGTTGCCTTTCAATGTTCACAGAATTTGAAAAGGGGGGGGGGGGGGGAACTGGAAAAGAGCCCTTTTTTCTTCGAAACTGCAGTTTACGACTGTTTTCTGTGTCATTCTCTTTAGGCTCTTTTTCCTCCCCCCCCCCCCCCCCCCCCCCCCCCCACCTGCAAATTCTTTCATGTAAATTTAATGACCACATTGTCCAATTGTTATGACAATATACATACAGACTAATAAGGCCACGACAAACATATTTGGTCTTCATACTCAACCTCGTAAAACCACTCGTTACACTAATATGTTGAAGCTCGTGTGAGGTGGGGGGAAGGAAAAAGAACCTCTCTTTATAAGAGTTTCAAAGGCTGACTTTTTTTCTGATGAGAGGGCAACATTTCTACCCCGATGATTTGTTCTGCTGCGAAGTCAGTCCTTGGTTTTTCCGGGTAGTTCAAAACATACTACTCTGTCTCAATTTATTGAACTTTACTCGGAGAAATATAATCACAGATTTTAATCAAATACTAGATGATACAGTGTTACTATTAGTCTTCGAAGTTTTCGCACTGATAGTGGTGCCTATTTTTGGCACTATCTTCACTTACTCTGTTTTGCACTCAGCCTGAGATCTTATGATACTACCCTTTCATGGCGTTTCCAGGCAGTTTTCACTTTAAACTTTCTTCCCATTTTGCATAGGTTTACAATAGTGGACAAAATTAAACGCAAGTTCAGGCTTTTAAATTCTTAAAAAAACCTTACTATAAGGACCCTTTTTATTCTGGCCTTTTTTATAACTTTTATATAACTTATAAAAACAGGAAACAGAATCGGTTTAATTCAAGAGAATCAATAAACGGCGAATTTTAGTAATTTTTATTGCACGGAATAAGCAACAACATTACACGTATCAAATTAAAAAGTGGGCTTGTTCATGCCCTGATTTGTGTGACTTATGTGTTTTTTCACAATGAGTTCATACTTAGTTCACGCAGTTTAATTAACAGATACTCAATTGCAAACCAATTTTGAACCGATTAAAATATTAGCATTTTATGTTCTGTCAGGTTCGTCTCAAATAGGATTCTCAAATGAAACGACTTAGGTGAGAATCGAACCCACGCCGAACTCCCCGGAACGCACTATGTATACGCTGAGCTATATAGCTGATATTGCTAAGCAACTATACTGGCTTTATACTATACTTTCATACTTTAATGCTATGTAGCATTAACACTTTTGGACAATAATTACTGAAAATTTTATTAAAATTTTTACATCGACCGAGAGCAAATGATATGAACTACCCTCTCTGAAAGTCTCAATTTTTAATTTGATGCAAAATCTAGCGCAAACGATAAAAACTGGCATTTTCAGGCCCTGAAAAAACTGGTGAGTGCATCAAATTTAAAAATGAAACTATAGCATCAAACTAAAAAATGAGAGAGTAATTCATATCATTTGTTGTCGGTCGACGTAAAAATTTTGTTAAATTGTCAAAGAAAATTTTGTCCAAAATGGTCCTTAAAGGCTGTTAAGAAAGTTAAAGCCTGAATTTGCGTCCAGTGTATAATCCATAGAAAAATTGTAAAATAGGCTTCTACCCCTTCAGACCACTTATAAGCATCACTTTTATGGTGTAGCGATAAGTATGAAGACTAGAAATGTTTTTCATAAACTAACTAGTCCGAATACCAAAGTTTCGAACAATCGAGAAACACGAACAAAAAAAAACATATGTATACGCTGAGCTATATAGGTGATATTGCTAAGCAACTATACTGGCTTTTTACTATACTTTCATACTTTAATGCTATGTAGCATTAACATCCTCCACCCCCGAAGGAGCGAGAACCGGAACGAGCTTAACGAGCGGCCGAGTGTAGTTTCCGGAAACGGTCCTTAGTTTTGCGGAGCGGGCGGTGTTGTCTTTGCCGTAGTTTAGCGACATTATGCGTGCTAGTGGGTAGTGGCCCCTAGTGCTAGTGGATTCAACTAACCACACCATATCTCCCGTTTTCAAAGAGTATTCGGGAGGAGTTTGCGTACGACTGCGCACGGGCATAGCGTTTAGAGTGAGAATAGTTTTCACTCGACCTCAGAGACGGAAACGTTAGACTGTGCTGACCTAAGAGGAAATGATTCGGCGTCAAAGCCTCAAGACTATCGGGGTCGTCAGAAACGGGAGTGAGTGGACGGGCGTTTAGTGAACCTTCAACTAGGCACATGGTTGTGTTCAAAATCTCGTCAGTCAACTTTCTTGACCCTAAGATTGCATAAAACACACGCTTACAACTGCGCACTAATCGCTCCCATGCTCCACCTTGATGTGGTGCACTTGGCGGATTATACTTCCACTTAATGCCTTTGTGTACGAGCGACAGTGGAGCTTCTGCGTTCCAATTTTTGATGCACAGAAGAAGCTCTTTTTCGGCTCCTACAAAGTTTGTTCCGTTGTCCGACCAAATTATTGAGGGTGTTCCTCGCCTAAAAATAAAGTGCTCGAAAGCCATCACACATGAACTTGTGTCCATGGATGGAACCAACTCAATGTGAATTGCGCGAGTCGTTAAGCAAGTAAATAGAAAACCCCCGCGTTTCTCGGAAGATCGACGAATGGTTACATGAAATGGTTCAAAATAATCGACGCCGCAGTTCGAGAACGGTGGCTGGCGGTAACCTAGACGCTCCGCGGGAAGGTCAGACATCATTGGAGTAACGGTTTTCGCTTTTCGCTTTCTACAGCACACTCAATGTGTTTCAATAGCTCTTAGTGCAAATCTTAAGCGTAGTACAACAAATTGCTGATGAATGGCGGAACGACTGACTGATGTTCGTGCTTAATGTGATAAAAACGGAGAAACAATCGGATTAGGCGATGGCGGCTATCCAAAATTATTGGATGGCGAGTTTCGAATGCGGTTGCAGAGAGACGTTGGATACGGCCGGTAGATCTAATTAATTCCTTCGGCCTGATAAAAGGCGAATACGATGATATACGGCTCGCTGTTTTCACATATTTTCCAGCTGCTAATTGTTTACTTTCAGCTGGGAATGACTCTAACTGCGAAAGTTGCAAAAGTTTTTCCTCTGAAATAACAAGTTCTGCTGGATCAATTATGGCCTTATCTGTTGATCTGAAATGTCTATGCTTAGGTGAGAGTCCCAACATATATGCGACTAGTCGCTTTATCTTGGAGAACGAGCTATACTCTTCCCAAGGGAAGGCAAAGTCAGTCGAAACTGCAGTGCACGGAAAATTGGAAGAGACCTCTAAACCCTCGTTTAGATCCTAGACCGAACCATCCAGGCGAATTTGGTCAGTAACTTCCCTATTTGGATTGAAAGGCCAATCAGAAGTTTTCAAAAAGGAAGGGCCGTTTACCCAACTGCTTTGCTTGAGGGAGTCAGCAGTAATACCTTTAGTTCCGGTGTCAGCGGGGTTGTCTCCACTCAAAACATGGAACCATTGGTCAATTGATGTTGACTCCAGAATCTCGGCTACTCGATTGGCTACAAACACGGGCTGTTTGCTTGTCGAGTTCAACCACTGAAGGACTGTTGTGCTGTCAGTCCACATGAACGCTTTGGAAATACTCAGTGTCAGAGCTTTCTCGATATCATCCTTCAGGCGACTGGCAAGAAGCGCAGCCTGAATTTTCAACTTCGGAATTGAAAGCATCTTCATCGGGGCTACCCTTGCTTTACCGAAAACAAACGCTAGTTGACATTTGGAACAGGCGTTTTTTTGAGCTCGAAGGAATGCTACAGAACAGAAAACGTTCAATGAGCTATCACCGAACATGTGCAGCTCAACCTCATCTACTGAGAACTCAAAATAGCAACGAGATACTTTGAGCTGCCCTAAAACTGGCAAGCCAGAGTGCCATTCAGTGAATCTGCGGCACAACTCAATTGGCAGTAGGTCGTCCCACTGTTGGCCACTCAATCTCCAGATATCTTTCAGTAACAAACGTGCGCGTACGGTATACGGGGCGACAAGACCTATGGGGTCGAACACGGAGGACACAAAACTAAGGACCGATCGCTGCGTAACAGAGTCTTTGAGTTCGCGGTTGACTCCTCTGCTCACAACCAACGTATCGATGACGTGGTCCCATTT